CGTGTTATGCTGTAGCTCGCATCTCACAATCCCACACAACGCGGCTGACTACGCCGTCGACAAATTTTCAAGCGTGGTACCGACGAGGCGCCACGATCAGACAGGAACAACCACCGCCACCGCCCCTCCCTACAGTGTCTGATTTCGTGGGCTATGCGGGTGAAGCAATTCAGCTGACGGACACGAATTCAGAAGCAGGTTCCAACCTTCCTGAGATACCTGCATTTCTCATATACAGGGACGCACATAGAGGCTTCGCGCCCCTCTTCAGGGATGCCTCAAACAACCGGCATCAGGCAGACCCGCCCACACAAGCCAGCGCCTCCAACGGGGTGGGTCGATTCTTCAGATTCGCCGACTCAGCTGCAGCCTTTCTTCAGGAGGTCCTACAGCACCGAAATTCGCCATCTCTACTCGAGCAAACTGGTGATGTGCGAGCGGTGAGGATGGAAGACTACGATAAGACAGTCTGTCCACACAACCGCTAGGCGTCGCGCTGCTACGGCGTGGAAAGGTACGTGATGAAAGTGCACAAATTGCACACAGGGCTGGTTGACACCGAGAAATGCGTGGTTTTAGGTTGGACGACCACAGTGAATCATGGGATTTGGAATGAGTTGGACGGTAATTGTGCACATGGGTACCTCAATGTACTCCAACTCGTTAAACCACGTTGGTGAATTCCAGTAGTGCAACAACTTTGCATCACTCCGAGTTTTCATTGAATCAAATTCAACAATCACGCACCTAGTTCGCCACGATGCTTCACTAGATAAGCTTTGTGCTTTTAACTTGCAGGGTCCAAATTGTGCGTTTTGGATGCAGTTTGACATGGCGTTGGTGAGCATTCACGTTTCCAATCTGCAAGTGGTTCGACAAGGCGCCAACTATCCAAATTCAGAAGCTGAGTTCCTCCCACAGGCACCTTCAACACGTGTCAAATATATCACACTGGCGCATTCACGAGAAGTGAGTGGTGGAGTGTGCTCGCACTTCGTTGACCGCCGTCAGCCACCAATCCCCA